AAGGAGGCTACGAAATCTACGGCATAGCGGAAAACAATATAAAAAAGCAGCTTCAGCCCCCCTTTGCCCCCCCCCCCGGATCCGTCCTTGGTTGGCATAGTTAATATTCGAAAGAAAGGTTCAAATTTTCATGAAGTTTTATTGCTAATAATAAATATTCAATATTAAATCCAATATTATGGAACTGCTCTTATTTAGCATGTATGAAATGATTCAAGCTTCTCTTACTTCCAAAAAAGTAATAATGATGAGCCCTCCTAATTATGGTATAACAAAACTATGCCTTCTAATTGAGTTCTGGATTAAATTTGAAACAATAAATTTAAACTAATCCAGCTTTGTTTCTGTCAACTAAATAAACTATGTACTTTTTCAGTGCAAGGGATGGACTAAATTTTCCGTGCAGCTGGCTTGTACTTTATCTATTACAATGCCTATTGATAACCTGTGTGTGTATATTATCCATTCTTTGTTGAGTCCAATAGGTAAGTTAGTGAAGAGCTTGATTAGTGTTATGTAAAACCTGACCCGAATCAAATTACTACCAAAATGCATCCGGGTTTAGCAGACGAGGCAATTTCTTAGATTCTTTTTTTCCACGACTAGACTGGGGAAGATAGAGAAGACGACTGAATTCGCAGTCAACTTCATTTGAAACCGTTTTTATCCGAATCCTTAACGTCATGCAAATATTATTGGGTAGATTTGGGTGTCAATGTATGACAAACATATGCTAAAACTTTTTTACCTTAGACAAATTTTTGTTGATTTGAATCGCGATAATATTTGTACATGACAGACGCAAAAATCAAAAATCTGTCACCTTTTTAATCGAGGTAGCGTTGTTTTTCGCTCAATATAAGCATTTGAAGAATATTCTTGGCGAAAAAGATAAGGTGTTAAACAAAATGCGGTAAATTGTAACTATATTTTGAAGCTTGCCATGGGAGTACAGCAATAAAATGTACAGTTTAGTCAACATAAGAACAGGTGGATTAATGAGGTTAAACAAAAACAAAAAACTTATCGGAGAAATCTTTATAATTTATAAAGTACACAGCCTTTATTCAGCCAAAAAATGAATTATGCGTTTATAGTTAGCATCTTTCTAAAAGTCTAGATGATTCTAGTGAATCCTATCGACGCACGAGTTAGTGCAAGGTTGTCTATTTTCATATTCCAAATTTACCCATTTCCAACGCTTTTTGGGTAAGAATTTATTTATTGAATAGTTAATAACAAACGATTTCAATATCCTAACCAGTGCTAACTGGTTTTGAGCGGATTTAATGAAATAGTTCTGTATTTTATTGAATTCATTTTATCAATGCTTTAGGCCCACATCAATAAGCCTTTTCAGACCAGCAGATGAACAAACAAAACAAAGCTTCAAGTCGATCAGAAAAATATATTTGCAGCCAATGTTTCATAAAGAAAGCACAAGCTAACTGTCATGACATCTAGAACATAATCTAACTGATGATATTGATAATGTCCCTGAGCTGAAGAAGAAAAAAGATCTAAAAACCAACTGAACAAAATGAAATTGCCATCCTTATCATCTTGTGTGTTTTTTACACCATTCATCGCTTGTCTTATACAACACCGTAGCTTGTCCCACACAATTGCCTTCAAACACAATCAATTACATAAAATTTCATTAAACTAAGGTCTCAAGTTATTCAACTAAGGCGAAGCAAAAAAACCTTTTGAAAGCACCTAGGGGGAGAAAACATTAAGAACGCATTTCCCTTTGTACAAATTTTGGATTTTTTTCTTCTAAAGCGAGGTATTGTTCCCTTGCTTTCATTTTAATTTACTTTTGGAAAGACTAAAGGTTTATGTTTGGATCGTCCCATGTAATTTGTAAATTTATCTGTATTTCTATTGTATTTCTTTTATCAGAAGAGTCCCCCCTGGATCACCGATGTATAAATTCATGAACAGGTGTACACAGTCAAATGATTGATAAGTAAATAAGAATCGTGTGAAATTTTTGACCAAATGAAGTGAGCCAGTGATATAAAAGATAGTGGAGCTCTCCACTGTGAAATAAGTTAGATCTCCGGTATCTTAATATGCGCTTCCATACAAGACATGAAGGCCAGTATTTTTAATCCTAGCCAGAATAATATTGCCAATTGTATGTCAGGATTTGGGATTGGAAAGCCAAACATTTTGGTTTACAGAATTCGAATAACTGGTTTTCAGCGTCATCAGTCAAGAAGCCTTACGACTATCGCTCCTTCCAGCTGGCTATTTGGACACTGGCAAGTAGATTTCCAAAGCGCTTTCCAGAGTTATTAGACGAACAAAACATATAGCCTTCCTCTAAGAACTGAGACGAATCAAAATACGATCATCACGAATAAGCACACTCAGGATTATCATTATGAATCTGAGCTACTCTTATCGCGAGTCAAACAATACCACGGCTGCTCCGAATAGCAAATGTCCCGAATGGGGCCAAGAAAATTCAACGCTATTTCAAGTGGTCTTCATAAGTCTTTACTCGATCATGGGGCTTACAGCGTTATTTGGAAACTCATTCTTAGTAAAGATCATTTTCTCCACTCCAAGAATGAAGACGTCGTTCAACTATTTCATTGCCAACATGGCCATATCGGATATTATCGTACAGTTCTGTGTCATCCCAAGAATAATCACTGACATTCTCTACGAGGCGAGACGGTGGCTTATTGGGGATACGATAGGCCAAATCCTTTGCAAGTTATTGTACTACGTCCAAGATGTTTGTACGGCGGTTTCAATCGAGTGTATTGTTCTCATTGCCATTGATCGTTTTCTTGCAGTTGTCACCCCGACAAAGGTTCGATCAACATCCCGTGGCAAACTTCGAGTCGTGATAATAATAATGACGTGGATCATAGCTATGGTACTCCATGCTCCATATCTTCATTTTACCAACATCAGAAAAGTAGCTCCAGACGTCATGTACTGTACTATAGACTGGAGCCCTCTACCGGATGCAGTACACACTAAATACATGAGTATCTTAATAGTCCTACTTTTTCTCATTCCCCTAGGGATCATTACGATTCTGTACTCGATCATTTTTATGATAGTAAAGCGCCGTAAAATCCCTGGTCATCAGTCCAGTGACAGACGCCAATTCCGCCACTACGAGAAGGCCAAGACGAACGTCCTTCAGCTATCAATTGCAGTGGTTGCCGTGTTTATTATAAGCTGGACCCCAACTATCGTCAACCTTCTTCTCCTTATGACCAAATGGGGTTGGAGAGTACCATGTGATATGATCCCTTTTCGATTCTTTGCGTTGTTCATGAACTATTCAAACACTGCTACCAATCCTTGGATATACTTCGTGCTGAGCGCTAACTACAGACAAGGGATTCGAAAACTCATTCCTTGCGCCCAGTGGAAGGCCCAGTACCAAAAACGATTGAGCTCAAGAACCAAATCAGGCACTTGGGCCACACACCAAACTGACAGCGGCGCAGAAGCAGATATAGGACAGACTCTTCCTGAACTAAGTGCTTGCACTGCAGTTTAGCTTAAAACTGACCACGGAAAACTATCCTAAAATACTACAAATAAATATGTATATATCCAACTGGATCAAAGTCAACTTATAATTAGGACTTGAAATTTTTTTCATCGGTTTTGTTGTATTAGTCGGTTGAAGTATTTTTTTCTTGCTTCCAATTAAGCCTTTCATTCCTCATCTCTTTCGCAGCATTTTTAATATTTTGTTTTCAGTAGTTAATAAGTTCCAAATTTCATCTTGGCTTTTTATTACTATTTTCTCATTTACACCAAAATGACATCTTTTATTTTTATTTTATTTTATCTTATTTTATTTATACATAAACGACCGGACTTCTTCATTATATTTAGCCTCGATTGAGAAGAAGGCTTTTTGCTATATTTATTGAATATAACCTAATTGAAGCTTTAAGGAAATTGAAAGATTCTTAATATTGTTGATATTTATCGGGAAAATTGAACAGGTTAACTACTTTTCCAGTAAAATTATGTAATCTTTTGATTAAAATAATCATTTTCACTTCATTAACGAAATAATTTCACAGTTTTGACGAAGTCCTTGTGAATAGTTTGAGAAAATGTGAATCATGCACGAATATAATATATAAACACTATGTACTAAGGGGGAAATAAAATGATAAATAACAACAACACTGCTTCTCCAAACATGATATGGCTTGTTGTCAATTTTGAATATATTGGTTCGTTGATGGCTTGGTTTAATACTCCAAACATGATATGGCTTTTGAATATATTGGTTGGTTGTTGGCTTGGTTTAACACTTGAATATTGGAATCTATGCAACAGGGCCAAGGGGCATGCGCAGGATCCCGGGAATTTGGGATATTATTTAGTTTCTCATTTTACACGAAATTCTCATCCCTAAATAAAATTATTTTTTGTTCACATTTTTTTTCTAGTATATGCTTTTATGACAGCATTACTGTCAACTGACTTGCCGGCTATCGATTCATAAGAGAATTTCTGATCATTTTGAGATTAAAGTAATCTCAAACCCAGAGAAAAGTAAACAGAGTAAAAGCTTTTTCGGATGTATTTGCGCAAGAAAGGTATAAAGGTTAGACAATATGGTAAATAGCAGAGACCTGCGAATTCAGCTTTTTTCATTCCATAATTGTAATAAAACACTGGCTGTAAACGTACAATACAGACCAGTTCGTTAGCGATTCAAAACACGTGTAAGACACACACACCCTCAAAATAAGAAGTTGTTTTGTAATTTTCAATTTTGAAACCATCGCATTTTCAAACCATCGCACTCTTGAAATCAAACGCTAGACGACGGAAGTAGCTTTTAATCCAGTAACTCATACCAAAATCTACTTTAGCTAAAGATGCATACAGTTGGCCATTTAATTACACAACTGACAAACCTGCCAGTCAAGAATGGAATTTCCTTCATTATGATTGGACGATTTGCGAGAGCAATGTCTTATCGACATCCCAGATTTATTACTTGCTCGTTAAAGCTGCAACTTTGTCAGGACATTGATAATTTTTGAATTTGCAGGTAAAATCGCTATTAGACGATTTCAGTTTATGCCCTACCGCCTAACTGTCTCTCTGATTAAAAGGAAATGAACTCTGCCTATTTTTTGTAATGGCTTCCAAGTGAAATAGATTTGTATAACCTGTCCACATTGTTTGTTGAAATGTCAAAGCGCTTCGTTAGCATTAATTACTGTGCGCCTCCGATCGTAATTGCCAGCTTTCAGAGACAAGTCGATTTGATGAAAAACACAACTAAAGAACAGTTAGAGTAATAATCAGTACATAATACTCCCACACCATCCATGTGCACCTCTTTTTTTCTTTTCTTTTTTTTTTTTTTTTTTTTTTTTTTTTTTTTTTTTTTTTTTTTTTTTTTTTTTTTTTTCTTTTGGCCTCACGTCTTTTCAATGCCTTGATCAACCAAGCAATGTCACCGATCCGATGGTACGAAAGAGCGAACGTGGGATGAACATATCCGTTAAGGATATTATAAAAAGCAATTTGTCTGCTATTCAGGACGGCAGAACCTACAGTCTAATTACTGAGTGAGTTTAATGAAATGATCTGTCTGAAATGCGAACAGTTAGCAGTTTCACGATATTAGCATTTTTCAGGGTCCATGCAAATGGTAAGCTGTAAGCTCCGTTATCTTGGTTGAAATTTCGTAATGATAGATTCACGTCCAATTCTTTCACTTGGTCCTTTCAGACATTTCTACGTATCTACAGCTTTTATCTACATACGCCTATATAATAATTCACTGAAATACTTATTCATCGCCAAAGGCGATAGGCGATACTGAGGTCATTCCGACATAGTGGAAATAAATGCCGTTTCGTTGAATACAAAGAATCTTGAATCAATCTCAACACCAAGATTCTTGACTAGAATAAGAAGCAGAAACACAAGTCATTCCAGCTATTCTTGGATCTTGGAATGACCTATCTCCTATCACTTTTCTCTTATCTCTTTTCTCTCTCACTTATCTCTTGTTGCCTATCGCCTTTGGCGATGAGAACGTTTTTTGAATTAGGTGTATACGAATGATGAGAAGGAAACAAAAAAGCCCTAAAAATGACAGTTTAAAGGCTTATTCGAAAACAATATCCACTGCAGAAATTTAATGTCCAAGAAAATAGTGATATCCTCTAGTACACGCAATCTAGCTCTCGCAGATTAATTATCGATTTCCGGGACGAGCTTGAGCGTTTTCCGTGTGGGCGAGTCATTAGGAATACCATGCGCTCGCTTTAAACCTGGTTAGACAGTACACGAAAAGATCCGGTAAAAATACAAATCGAAAAAAATCAAAATCAAAATCAAAAATCTAAGCCGCTGGCGACCTGCAAAGAGTTGTATACGACACAAGGTTTCCTTTGGAAAGAGTTGTGATATGGAGAGAAGCACGAGCGTGTATACAGGTGACATGGGTATACCAATACGTCATGACACGCCAGCTTGTTGTTACGTAGATGGTTTAGTCGTTGTGACATTGAATACAGGAAGTTTGTATTAGTTGTTAGCGATTTGAAATTTAGAATGGACATCCTATGACGGTGTGCAAGGTGGGTTCTTAGCGGGAGAATACGACACAAATTGAATCTTTTCTTAATTTAAATACTTTTGATAAGAAGGACAGTTGTCGTTTCCAGGTGTGGATCTGTGGGTGGTGAATGGGGTGACTAGCTACCTTTTGCTCATATTTCTCAGTATTATCCTTCGAAAGCCACCCCCCTTTTCCTCGCATCCTGGTAAAATCTTTGTAATAGTCACCTCCTTCTAAAATTTCTTGATTCGCCGCTGATTTCAGTCACTTTATTTTTATCTATCCTTCGTCTTGTTCTTTTTTCTTTCGCTCTTTCTTCCTCTCTCTTTCTTCAGCAATGAAAGTCTACAAAAACCTAGCTATTAGGCGTTTTGCTATTAAAACCCCCGTCATATACAGTCGACGTTATAGACATTCCCCGGATTATCTGCTAGAGTGAGTTGTTTGCACTATAGTAGTTCTCTTGCAAGATAATTAACCTATCCACTTCCTAGTATTCAAGCTCATTCAAGAGTGAATGACTCTAGTGAGCATTAGATGATACTGGTGCGGTATTAATGGTCTTCAACAAAGTTTCTTCCTTAGTTCTATAAAGCCAAGGTGGCCATTGTCATTTCGAAATTTAGGATAATATATTGTCCTTGATCTTAAACAGAAGATACTAGTTACTTATGTTTACTATTGTTTCATTAAACCAGAACAAAATAACACCAACATTTGCTACTCAACGTTTGCACAACGCCGGAAGCAAACAACCCTTTTTACTGTAGTTTTCATGATATTGAATCAAGTCGGGAATTTTATAAAAGACTCTTCAATATTAGCTGAGGAAATGCCACAGCGAACTGTTCATTAGTGAAAAGATACCAATCAGTTTATTTCAAATCTACGTCAAGATGGAGAATTTCCGGGCTAAGTGTCTTTCGCATTGGACTAATATGGAATTATATATCATAGCTTCGTTTACGACATGGATTAATGTACACAGCTAAGATACAATATTGACTGACGTTACTAAACAGTAGAATTAGGGGTTGAGCTCTATGTTCGTTTAAGTCGTCTCTTCAAAATTATTTCACTTAAGTATTATGGCTTTGGCGCTATTTTACCAATCAGTGGGCTAATGCTAGACGCGCATGTGCGAGGCATAACAGGTGGCAGCTCATGATCGATGTTGATTCAAAAAGAAAAATGAGGAGCTTACGTTGAAGAGAGGTTTTTTGTTTTTTGTATGTTTTTACTAAGAATAATAAAAAATAGCATCTACTTAAGCTATTATTATGTTTAATTTGGAAGAAATACAACGATGAGGTGTGTTGAATATGAACACCAAACGCACAAGCATCAAAACAATTAATGTAATGATAAAGTGTAAATCCATACGAAAGACCTGTAAGGGACGTGACTGATCAACTGTTGAGGTGTGTGGGTTGTGTTTGCCAAGTGAAGACAACAATACATGGTTATTATCGTGATAGCAAAATGGATTGTTGAATAATTGATGGCTCGCCTCGTTGATTATATTTTTTGATCACGGCAAACGGCACACGAAAAAGAAGAAGAAGAAAGGAAGGAAGGAAGGAAGAAAGGAAGAAAGAAAGAAAGAAAGAAAGAAAGAAAGTAAACAAGGACTTTTTCTGTTAGAGCTTTATTTTTTTTTTTTTTTTTTTTTTTTTTCCTCATTGGATTTATTTCTCATTTAATTTAATTTTTGTCTTGTTTTCAGTCGTTATTTGATTTCAATATCTGTATAAGTGTGTTGCTCGTTTAAGCCCTTATCCGAATAGATAACCTTCCAATATTTATGCTCAGCAAATATAGAGCACTTCTGCTTATGGGAAGGAGTCATAAAGAATGAACGAATGAAAGAGCGCGTGGAATAAATAGTTTTCAACATTCTTCCTCTATAATATCTACAGTGTATATAATCTCCAATTATATCAGAAGAATATCATTGATATCTAATTACCTTTACAAATGAAAAAACAAGCTCCGTACAGGTCTTTGTAGCGGTGGTGCATTCGTTTATAACCTCTGTACGGGGTCTTGTATTCGATTCCTGAACTTGGCCACACGAGTGAAAAACGTCTGCACATGCTCTGAATCCTTATGAAAATTAGTCAAAACATATGAAATTTGACTTTCAAACATGCCTGATAAATTGGACTTCACAAAATGTCAAAACTTAGTGTCCATGCTTGAAATTTAAGGCTAATTCTTTCATATTGTGTTTGTTAATACAGTATCTTGGTCTGACAAAAGTATACTCTCAAACTTTTTTGTATACTTGGGGAAAACAAACATTTATTTTCTCACTCAAACTCTTCAAAATCCTTAGAAAACGTGCTGAAATGCACGCATGCGCAAACGTTTTTCTCTAGTGTCGAACTTGGAATCTCATGCGCATGCAAGTAGAGTTTGTTAGTTCTTTCCCTTGATTGCAGGATTTTCGGCTCCGGGTTCTCCAGTTACCCTCCCTCCTCAAAACCCAACACTAATTCCAGTGCGATCTGCAAGTTAGCCGTACCCTGACTTAATTAATTCAGCTTAGAGTTCGTTTCAGAGTATCGATAGAATTAAAAGGTTTTGATTAATAATATATTGATGCAAAGCAAGATAGAATCCTCGTCTATAGTTGATGGCGCGCAAAGATCGTGTTTTATCAGCTAGCAAATAAATCTAATCTAAAGGGTTAAATAATATTATATATAAACAAATTGTAGGGTTGTATATGGTGGGCTTCTTTAGATGAGCGTGTTGTATTATGCTTAATTGAATAAGTCGACAACAAAAGGACTCTATCAAGCATATACAACTACGAAATGCCAATGACTTCCTAGGCACACCCACGATAATACATACAAAACGCAAGACGAAGCTTAAAATAACGTATTTGAGTGGCCAAATGCTTTATTTTACCCTGGAAAACAAAAGACGCATTACAACGCTGGTAGCATTTCATTGTTTGTTACGGCAAAAGCTGGTGTCTCATGGCAGTATGTGCGAAGTCACCTGTTAGCTGCTGTAGAGTAACGACTAAAACAAAAATAACTAATGAATTTATAAGCTTATGATAATTTGGATGTTCAGTATGGTGTATACCAACTTGGAAATTAAAGAGAACTGGCCAATAATCAAAAAATGCTCAACAAATCAATTAATTTTTGACACGTATTCCGTTGACACACAAACTTGAAAGCCAATATAACTGACAATTATTGTTAAGTGCAGTATAGCTTAAAAAAATACACAATATCAGTACTCAAGTATACGTTAAAAGAACACGTTTGCGTTCAATTAGAAGCCTGTTTTGAATGTAGTCACCATGCAGCTCAATCAGGACGTCTTTTAAAGCCTGGCTTCAATCTCAACTGTGTTTCCATTATCCCTCTGACTTGTGTTTCTCACCATCAGGGACCTTGCAGTTTTAATAACCCTATATCGATTAAAACATCTTATCATGGGAATAATATTTTTTAAACCAGTTCGGTAGTTTTTAAGGAAAATAAAGTACAAAAGGGGGTTGATCGCAGCGTTGGAGTAGGCGAGGTACTGTATCACAAATACAATGTCATTCCAATAACAAGGAACATGGCTAAGATCCCATCTCCATTTAAAGGTTGCCACCATAAGTATCGTAAAGTAAGGGCCCCAACAGAAAGCATATACTAGGACTACAGCGAAAGATAGCAGTGTGATGTTTCTCTTTGACAACTGGCGCCTTCTTCTACCCTTGTCCGTTTGGTTTAGATCTTTAGGGCGGGTTTTCATCTTGTAGAGTATCATGGAGTACATCACGAGCAAGAGTACAAAAGGAATGATGATGAAAAGTATCATCAACATGATGGTGTAGAACACTCGAGCTCGGATAGAATCCCAATCCATAACACAGAATTTATTCTGCAGTTTAACGGCGTAGAAGTGTGGCGAACAGAATGCCATGGCGATGATCCACGTAAGACCGATGAAATATTTGCGAAATCTTGAGGATAATTTTGTGGCCATGAACGGAAAAACTACAGCAGCAAATCGATCGAAAGTTATGAGAACAAGGCTTAAGATCGAGACAATTGGAGACATGTCAAGAACGAAAAAAACAAACTTGCACAGGAAGTCCCCAATGTCTCCTTCGACTCTCCACTCGCTATTTTGTGTTGAAAGTTCGACGATTCTTGTGGTGGAAGCCAAAATTGGAATGACAAGGTCAGAGATAGCCATGTTGACAAGCAGATAGTTCAAAGTATTTCTCATTTTGGTGTTTTTGTACACGATCAAACAGACTAAGATATTTCCTGCAAGTGCTGCTACCATCAGTATGATAAAGGCTATCAACTTGGCAAGGCTCACTCGTTGTGAATCGAGCCCGCAGTGGACATACGATTGATTAGAATTGATCGTCATACTCGCGTTAAAAGATGAAGCCATACTGTTATTGATATCCATGGTCAGTCAAGCTTGTCTTGGTAATAATCTAAAGAGAATTCAAAAACGCAGTAGTCAAACGTTATCTATCAATGTGCGTGCACGTCTTATCAGAACCGATAATTGTGTTTTATAAATGAAAGGTTTTCTATGTAGCAAACACTCGATGACTCAATTGGACTGTTTAGCATAAGAATTAACACCCGACCATTATAGTTTAAAGAATACTGTCTGACAAATAATTACAGGCCATTGTTACTTGCTAATAACATCTTTTACCGGCGCGCGATATTTGTTCCATTCAATTTGTCAAGGTCTTTCCCCATAAAGAAGTAAAGGTTTGTTTTTCAACATTCGTGATCGTCAACACCTCTAGTTATTCCCATGCTCAGGGGTTCCTTTTAAGTCAACCTTCCGATGAATTATGGATGTCAATCTAGCTTACCTGTTGACCCTTCATATTTGAAAATTCGGCTCTTTCCTTGATTCCTTTTTATCCATTCATTTCCTAGCTTGCGATAGCTATGGAAGAGCTTATCTCAGCTTTAAGGCTACTACGCTAATGCTATTCAGTATTAAGTTAAATATCTTGTAATAGTTTGTTATAGTTCCGTAAACTTCAGACCACCTGTCATCTTAAAAAGAAGTGGGGGCTTCTAAGTAACTTCCATAGACTATTCAAGAGCCATTGGCGTTTGATTTTTGACCGGCGTATATTTAAGAACTTTATATAATATCAGCCAAACTAAGTGCTCGTCAGAGATATTTTGGTACCAATGATCTACGAGAGTTTTTAAATTATTTTTTTCGTGAACTGTTTTCGGTTGAAAGAAAGTCTCCATATCTAAACCAATATAAATTGCCATAAAACGATGATTACGTTTCAAAGGGTTGCAAAAGGGTCGTTGATCGCCCCTAATGCCATGTATATATGTATGTGTGTGTATATAGAAAACTTTATCTTGTGATGTTAACAATAGAAAACAGAAAGAAGGAGAACAAGCCAAAACGGTGGTTAAACAATTTATTTATTTACTTGCATTACGAGCAATCACCCAGCATGTTCGCTTTCAAGGCGACACAAAGCTGAAGTTGCAAAGCGCGAGAATAAGTATCGCCTTAGGGCTGTACCTAACTGAAGGCTAAGTTCTTAACGTGGCTAATACATAGCTAGAAAAAAATTGTAACTACCTGCATGGCACGAGTTTGTTAGCAGCTTTGACGATGCAAGCCAGTTCGTTAGTGGTCTTTTCAAGTCTTTTGTTCCTAGAGAGCATTGGACTCGGTTCTTTTTAATCAGTTGTAAACACAGATATCAATATCTATTAATTAAAATCCCTCTAGCAGCCCGGGGGCATTATGTCTATATTTTCTTTAATCAAATCGAATAACAAGTCAAGAACAGAAAATATTTGTTATGAGTGGAAAAGCTGGATCCCGGATGATATATCAATAAAGCCTAAGTAGAGGTTAAGGATCTAAGCTTTTAACACCTGTATGGCTCTTCTTTTGATTTTTCATCTTACCATGACTAAATATAGCTATACACTCAGTGATCTTTGGCGCGTGCAGCCGTGAAAACAGTTTTCGTAACGTAGATAAGGGATATAAACCATTTTAAATTTGAAACGAGAAACCTATAATGTTAAATTTTTTTCAGAAGCTGTGTATTTGTAAATACTGCCGATACATTTTTAATCTTTTTTTTTTTTTATTATTTTTTTTTTTTTAAACTTAATTGTTATTTATGCCAATTCTAAATTATTGCATCTGAACGTATAGCCGACTTCTAGCTATTTGGTAAGGCGGAATGACTCGTTGAAATTGCAGCGACAAAAAAAATGCGTGCGCCAAAAGTCTTTTGCTTCGACAACTCCTTGTTCTATAAGTTGCTTATTAGTCCATCGCCCACCTTCTCGAATATGATTTTCTAAGGTATTAGGATACAGAAAAATAGCTTCTCTTCAAAATACTGTACAATATGGTTCAGTTCAAACTGGTATCGAGTAATGATTCTTGCATGGTAGAAATTTTCAAGGCAATGTTGACGAGTGAATTAGCCTGGTCAAATAGTTCGCTACCTAAAGGCCGGTTTAGACGGTACGATTTTTCGCCTACAACTATCGTATACAACACGCTCGTGTCTGTCGTAGGCGAGTTGTAGGCTTGATTTACACGCTACGACTTGAGTTGTAGGATGGCGCGAGCGTGTTGTATACGATAGTTGCAGGCGAAAATCGTACCGTCTAAACCGGCCTTAAAGAAACCATCAATTGTCGGGTCTCGCTTTGGGTGAAAAAAGGATTTGGTATAAACGAATAGGAAATCTTGTTCAGTTTGTTTACCTTATTCTTCAAGACCAGATCGATATCGATCTGAGGATGATTAGCCAAAGAAGACAATACTCGGGTTCAGTTTTATTTTGCGAAGCTTGCAAGTGCCCGATATCTTCATGAGCATGTCTAATTTGTTATTATGAATATTGTCCATTTGAAGTACTCGGATGTACTAGCTAATGGAAAGTTTTGTTTTGACAAAGTCTAAGAATTTGTTTTCAATCATCTTGCCGACATCCGCTCTTTAAAAAGTCTTTATAATTGGAAAATTAAATGACTATCAAAAAAATGTGAAGAAATTTGAAAAATTGAAGATGCAAGAGACTAAAGCTTCCGATTTATTAAAAATGATAGCCTAGTGATAGGGTTTTGCTTATTACATTTATGGTTAAATTTTATTACATATTTATGGTGGGGTCGATTATTACATTTATGGTTGACTGTTATTACATTTATGGTTGTTATTACATTTATGGTTGATTTTTATTACATTTATGGGGGGAATTACATTTGTGTGTGTTATTCTATTTATGGGTAAAACAGGGGGGTTAGTATTCGAATCGAGTTTGGTCTGTTTTCTCAAGAGTTCGCTAAGCTTTCAACCATATTTTTTTTTAATGGCGTTTCCGCCTTAAACAGCCCCATGATTCAGCGCGCCTCCAACTGGGTACCAGTTTTCCGCGGAACCACTAGAGTCCAAGAGATGTTTCTTCTGTTATCTTTCTTCTGTATTTATTTTCTTTTTGTCATTGGAATTCATTTTTTCTAAGAATTTTTGTTTTGTTTTGCCGGAGTATTACCGGAATTACAGAGTATGTGATTGTAAGTAGAAGGGTAGGAACGAAAATAAATGAGATGTAATGGTTAGATTGTAACGGTATCGTGAGGTATAGTGATCGTTTGAAGGAGTGTCCCATCTCTAGAATGCAGTAAGTATTAATTGTCATTGTCTAAACGAAATGAATAAAAGTACGGCTAACAGTAGCACGACGCATCAACCCAACACGCCACAAGCATTTAGTTTTTTGATAAGAAAACGACTACAGTTGATATTTTAATTCTTCGTTTGCGCATGACGTCATAACCGCCATCTTGGTAGAGTCTTAGAAAGAATCGTCAATAAATGATTTTGTTATATAAACCAACATTGCCCAGCGCCGTTTATTTTGTTATTTCACTAAAATGAGTACATTCTTGGAAACAATTTCTAAGGGCTCCTATGGAGACAAGAAAGTGCCATAAATTGATAATTTGAATCCATGTTTATTTTCGTATCTAAAAGTATCTCGTATCTCAGATATTATAAGGTTCCAGTCAAAAGTCAGGTATACATACTTCAAAAATATATTTCATTGGTTTCTGACTAAGTGGATGATAAACTAACCAAATAATATAAGTCTAATATAAGCTTTACCTGTTATTGGGTAAACACGCGCGTTAATTGCTTTTGCCAAAGCTGTGTAACGCGAACTATTTATGGCAGTTACCAGAAATTATACAAAATTATATCTAAAAAGGTACTCTGCATGATATGGTCTTTGTACAATGATATGGTCTTTGTACAATGATTGACAGCTATCCATCACATGGTCTTCCACAACCTTCGTTTTTTCGTGTTTGATGATTGACAGCGATCAATTAATCACATGGTCTTCCACAACCTTCGTTCACTTATTTGTGCTCAATGATTGACAGCGATCAATCACATGGTCTTCCACAACCTTCTTTTACTTGTTTGTGCCCAATGATTGACAGCGATCAATCACATGGTCTTCCANTGACAGCGATCAATCACATGGTCTTCCACAACCTTCTTTTACTTGTTTGTGCCCAATGATTGACAGCGATCAATCACATGGTCTTCCACAACCTTTCTTCACTTGTTTGTGCTCAATGATTGACAGCGATCAATCACATGGTCTTCCCAAACGTACCATCTTTCTGTTCAGTGTTTGAACGACCAAGTTACATGATCCAGAAGCTTTTGTTCATTAGTTGAAAAGTATGTTTCCAAGAATCTTCATTCCTAAGCCTGATGGCTTGTTATCGATCAGTGGCTGACAGCTATCCAATATTTTTGACCATTTAAATTAATATTTAATACCCATACATATGCAAAGATGCCTTTGAAGAAGCCTTTGTCTTTGGTTTCATTTTCTAATAGCTAGACGTTTAAATTTTGTTATTTTGTGCGCTGCACTATTTCCTTAAAAATAAAAATCCTTTTTGTTTGAAAAGGAATCAGAAACGACTCTAAGACAAGCCTTGCGTAAAGCTCGTGTCCTTACTGCGTAAACAAACGGGTTAACAGCAGACGAAGAGTACGCAATAAAAATCCCCCACAACCACAGCTGATAAATATAAAGTTTTTTACATGAGTCAGATGTAGCATACTCAATGACAGAAAATACTAAATTAGGACAAAAAAGGACAATAAAAAAGCTAATAATGATGCCAATTGTACATGCAGCTTTCTGGGTTTTGATGTTCTTTACAACTTCCATTGTGCAGATTCTTGATGAAAATCGAATTTTATAGACTTGATTGCGAGCTTTAACGTAAACACTGACGTTACAAAACACCATCACGATGCAAGGAAAAACAAAAGTTATGACCAAAGATGACAACCAGAGCTTAGAGTCATCAGAATGATCTACAATAACACTTGTCATAGCAAAAACAAACGAAAATATCCAAATAGAAAGAATGACTTTCCAGGAGAGCCGCTTGTTTACTGATTTCCGATATTGGAACGGAAATAACACAGCGAAAAAGCGATCCACACTGATGGCACTGAGGCTGAAAGATGTGGTGACAAGCGTCTGCACCCACATGTAGTTCTCGACTTTATAAAGCGGGTTAAAAGAAACCCAAGTATTGGTCGAGGTTAACGTTATGTAAAGCGGGTTTATGATCAAGCCAACTAAAGCATCAGCTGCAGCAAGAGAAGCTATGAACATGTTAGATGGAGTGTGCAGCGTTCTTGATTTGTAAATTGTCATCAGAACCAAACTACTCCCAGTTAGAGCAACAAGTCCTGAGAGAGAATGACAGGATATAAAGATGATGTAAGGAATTCCAGTTAGATTCATATTGCAGGATGACGCAGCGGTGCTGAAGTTCATGGCTGTAGTTTATAGTGTCGATGTCCTTGTTGTGCTTCGACTTCACCTCCTTGTCTTAGTTTGAAATCAAAGTTCATCAGCTCCTCCTACTTGGCAAAACGACGTTGGTAGATTATTATCAAGATTTTATCCTCAAGGTTCCACGTACTATTTACTAATTTCGATGTCATAGTGCAAAATCACGTCAAATTTTGCTATGAATTTGTTTATCAATTGTTTTCCTGGTTGTGGGGGGTAATGAGTTAAAACGAAATAAAACAACTTCTTATAAATTTCTGCTAACTAGCTCTTATTGTTCTCTTGTTAGATTGACCAACGCATTATCTCGGCTTGAAATGGAAAGTTTAAGTTGATTAGGTATATTGCGTCATTCGTAGATCTAATCAACCTTAACACCTAAAATACACCATGTAATTTACTAAAAAAAATAGTTAATCCAAGCCAAAATTTTTCTTAATTTTTTTTTTCTTTCTTTTTTGCTCAGCACAACCTTTAAGGAATTGTATTTACTACGATATACATAATCTATTATATCTATTATAAGCATTCTCGAGCTAGCTGAATTAGCCATAATGTTTAGATCTCCGTTAATGGAAGTACAAACGTCCTACTGATAGTAATTTATTGGGTTTTGCTTGAAATGGATTTCTAATGAATACAGAGGCCGCCTTGATTGTTTCCTTCAGTTATTGGCTAAGACTGTAGAAAATCTATTTATGGAGTCTCATTAATTTTGTGCACAGACCCAGCTATTCAGTTTTAAACCAATTGATCTTATTTACCACTAAGGAAAATATAATCACTAATCTTAATGATGAATAACATCCTTTGAAGCTAACACCACATCCTTCAATTTCATAACTGTTTCAAGGGGTTTTCAATATTTTTTTCGCATCTTGATGATGTTGTTTTGAAGCAGCGTTTTCCTGAGGTTTTCCATGGGGTAAAACCAAATTGTTTTCCTGTTAGCTGAGTAACTTTTACCACCAAGTGACGGGTCATTAATTACGGGG